CTGTGTGGGGGGGGGCACTACACCCGGTGTGGGGCAGGGGACCCATCACTCCTGAGCAGCCTCTCCCACATGGCCCCCCCACACCCACAGTCCCCCCACAATCCACCCACAAACCCCATGCCCCCAAGCTACCCACACAAACCCCTCACCCAGATACTTGGCTTTGTGGGTCAAGAGCGAGAAGACTGGGACTGGGGGCAGGCTGTAGGTTGAGAGTTAGAGGCTAGGACAGGGGCAGGGCACTAGCATATCAGTGCTGCTCAGCGCTGCACATCCTGGTGAGCAAAGCGGGTAGAGGCAGCTCTGATTTTTCTATGACAAAAAAGCCAAAAGTGAATGCCAGATATTTAGAATTTATTTTATTATGATGACAGAGACATTGGTAGGCTTCCAAATTGCTTTAAACTGGTAAATATATTGATAAACCACTGCCCAACTGATCTCTCTAGAAATAGACACTGTTTTGGGTGTTTTAAGGAGTGAATTTGGGTTTTCCATCAGAGAATTTGCAATTTTTAAACAGGGCACACAGGGATCTCTGCTGGTGAGACAAGTGGTGAGACCTGGGCAGAGAAACCTGTACAGGGCCAGCACTGGCAACCCAGCTAGAGGGCAGATGAGGTGGCTGGCCTGTTGGACATTTGGGGCCAAGATGACACGCTTGGACAGCTCAAAGCGGCCCACCACAATGAGTACATCATCAGGGTGATAGCTCCCCAGATGGCAGAGTGGGGGCATCCCATCCGAATCTGGCAGGTGTGTAGCCATGGGGCAGGTCCAAGGGGGCGGATGCTGTTGCAGGTGGCAGCAGGTCACAGCCAGAGTGCTGCAGTGGGTAGAGTGTACAGGGGCCACTCCAGGTCAGGGCTCCTTCAGCAGTTCAGCTGGCACAAGGGGCTAGTGTCCCCAGATACCAACTGGCTCAGCCTCAGAAGCCCCTGAGGTTAAGCAGCCATGCTCACCAGGACAGGTTTTTAAACTGTTGGGGCCAGCACAGGTGCTGGCCCCAGCCTCTAGATCTCCCTGGCTGCAGATCCGGGAGGAGCTGGGCAGAGTCAGTTTGCCCCAAGAACTTGCCCCACATCAAAGTGCATGTTCAGGCATGTGTTTCTGAGGCAAAAATCCCCGGCTCCAATTTGTGCTGCTCCTATTTGAGCTGCTGCACGTGCACATGCCTGCATATGTGGACGCACCCTTTTTGTCTATCTGCTTGTTTTTAATACTCCAATAAACAGCATAAAAAATTATCACTAAAATACTAGTCTCTGAATAAAATCTAAGGGATGAATTTAAATACGAAAGAAATGCATGCAATTTTTACAAGCCGAATTAGACATCTTCAAGACTCTGATATCTCCATGTACCTTACTAGCTTTAGTGAGTCATTTGGGAATACTTGCTAATATGCTTGTGTGGCTACAGAACACTTTTGTACTGTGTGGTTTGCAAACAAGAACTGTATCTCTCTGTCTCTTTCTCTCGCTACCCTCCTGCTTTAGTCCAGATATAATCTCTCAATGATTGTATTACTGTATTGCTTCCTTAGAAACATGAACAAAGAAACAAAGTAGTAATGATAATTCTAAATGGCCAAAACAAAAGCATAAATCCCGAAGACAAAGTAACAACAGTGGCTCTGATTTTTCCTTCACTACACCTGTGTAAACTAATAATTCAACTGAAGCAAAAGGAACTACAATGGTGTAAAATTTGTGTAAACAAGAAGAGAACGTGGCTCAATATAAGGTTTAAGAACACAAAAAAATTCTCCCGATTGATTCTTCCTCAGTTTTGATGTGTTACATCACCAACACAACCAACTTCAAATGGACAACACAGCCAAGCCCCAGTTACCATAGAAACATGTTCGATGAGGATATATACACTAAGTCACCATCTCACAGCAAACAAGACTGCATTGCAGATACTAGTCTTTGAAACATATTTCAAAGACAACTAGAAATGTTTAAACCTCATCTTTAACTGTACCGAACATTACAAATGTAGTTAAACGAACAACAGTATTTCATTCTAAATAAGCAGCTGTGATCAGGGTGCAGTACCTTGTCAGAGTAAATACTGCGAGATGCTTATATTGCTGGTTATTTTGCATCTGAAGGAAATGTAACGTAAAAACATAGAAGACTAATGTATATATTGTTTCCCAAAAATAAATCCATGTCTTGAATAGACTAAGATATGTTTTAAACTAAAACGGGAAAAAATAGTCTCTGAAACTTCAAAGTACTTTTTAATTGCTGCTCCAGCAGTTAGGTTATGAACATCATTTTAAAAATACGATTGTAACTTTTAAATTTAGCTAGTTTTGGAAAGTGAAAATGTATGAAATACAATTAAATAGGTTAGGGCAGAGTAGAATATTCAAATGCTCTTGGCACTGACATACTTCCGCTCCTACTGAAGGCAAAGGCAATTTTATCACTGAAATTAATAACTTCTGAGTAAGAATAATACTGAGTGCTTTTGAAATGTGTGCCCATATTTTTTTTACTCAGTCTATTCTATATCTGCCTTCTTAACTCACTGTAATAACCTAACAATTTCAATTATTTCTTACTGTGTACTTACCAAAGACCTGGTAGTCCAGCAATGGATACCAAATTTCTACTTCAGAGCATCGCCTTATAAAAAAAAAAAAAATCTACTGCCAAATCAATATCCCTGATAATTGTACTGATATTACAGCTGGTCCAAAAGAGCCACAGATATGGCAAAATTATGACATACCTTTCCATGTATGAACACCTATTTGATGCAGTATCTTCTGAGGAGCATCTCAAAAGAACAAGATTCATAGCAGTTGCTTTGCCATCACGTAAAATATACAATCACACAAAATTTATGCATTAATCAATTGACATACAACAAGAAATGTGCAGAATTAACAACATCACACCATGCTTTACTACTTACATGTTGCATCAATATTAAGATACAAGCACTTGGTATTCCTTAATACATATGTGGATGATCTCCCTACATTGTTCCATGCTTGTAAATCAGTGCTATGCCATTTTTTAATTCAATCTTTATTTCCTTTGCTTTAAGTGCTTTTCTAATAGTAGATCATATAAAGAATATTGTAGTTCAAAACATACATAACATTAAAGTAATAAAAATCTAATATAATGGCTACTGAATTCTGATCCTGTAGAGCAGCTATTCCAGTGTGCCCATTTTAGCACTGCATGGGCAGATAAATTAAAATGGTCTTAAGTAAATCAAACCAGGAACAAATCTAATAATATTAAATTGCTCTAATGAATTTTACCTACAAGGCTGGGGACTGGTAATTGACCAATTTTTCCTGAATAATTCATTATATAAGACACTATAATATAGCTTTGCTTTGTAGTTGTAAAAGGAAAGAGATATAAAACTATAAGATTAATTCATAATATAGTAGGGATATGGTTTAATGTTTTAAGTGAATGAAACTCTTATCAGATATAGTAATGAAATAAACATTGTACATACCCTGATCCAAAACCTCCTCCTCTTCTCTTTTTGGCTGCTGCAGTAAAGAACTTTTAGCTGCATTCTTGTTTTCTAAAAAGGATTAAGAATATACTAATACATATGTGAATTGAATATAACATTACCCAAGGGTGGAGGGGAGGGACTTCTGAAATCAGAGGGTTTTTTAGACCATTTTGAAGACTTTAAGAATCAAAACTAAATCTATCTATGGGATTTATTAAAACAAGTTAAGTAACTGACCAATAATCTCTCTAAACCTTTTAAAACTATAGCAGAAAGGAACAGTATAGCAATATATTACCTTTATATAATAGGATAAAAGTTACTTCATATGAACAAATTGCTTTTTGAACATTCAGTTTTATAATTCTTTTAAGAGAGATGTACCTATTTGTACAACTGAGGTAATGCAAATCAAGGGGGGTTAAATGACTTCCCCTAGGGCCACAAAAACTAATGAAAGACTCTTAGAGACTTCAACAGGGTCTCTGAGTTGCACCTACAATAAATCAGTGATAGGTAATGGAACCTCGGAGTCTTAGTTAATGTTCTAATTAACAGGTAGTAAACCCTCACTGGAAAATGCTGATAATGTATAGATGTGTTAATATCTGATGCATCTTTGGGATTTGCTGAGTCAAGTTGGAAGGGTCTAAACCAGTGGTTCTCAACTGGGGTGCCATGAGACACTTTTAAGGGTGTTGGTATGTGGATCCCACCACCATAGTTGCTGCAAGACAAGAACATAGCTCTTGGTATCCGCTGCTAGACGGAACAGCTCTGCCAGCTTCCTGTGAAGCCACACTGGGAAGCAGATGCAGCAGGAGTGGGTGCCCCTGGCTTTATTAGGTTTATCCGAAAGGCAGTTGCTCCTGCCACAGCTGCTTCCAAATCTGGCTCTGCAAGAGATATGCAGGGTAGTCCTATGTGGCAGCAGTGGAAACAGCACGATGGTTGAGAATCACTGAGGGAAGCTAAGGCAATACAACAGCGATTCTTAACTCAGGTGTCCTAAATTTAGAAAAATTATGGAGGACTGAAGATTGAGAATCCCTGATCTAAAAGGACCATGGAAAGGATGTGATCCTTTCCTTTCATCACATGGAAAGGATGTGATGCAGGAGATGGGATATGGAAGATTTACCATTAACACTTACCATCTTATGTTGGCCATTTTCTAATGGGCAACATAAGATGAAACATGTCTGAGAGGCACTCACACACTGGACGCCTATTTTATATAAAGGGGATGGGTAAAATGGCTGATCCCATTAGTGGCCACACTCCATTTCCCAGCAGCCACTGCCCACATCGCTGCGGCTGGTTTTCATGGAGAACCCAGGATGGCCAGGCCATGACAGTGCAGGGCCGGGGTTTCCATGGAGACCAGCCCAAGCAGCACTGGCTGGCGCACAGCTGAGCAGGGAGCTGCTCCAGAGCTGGGGCTGGGATTTTGCAGCAGTGATAGTGTGATCTCGAGTTGGGGCTGAGTTGCAATCTGCTGCCTGCATGCCCCTGCCCATAAATATAAACACAATTTCATACATTCTGAAATCAAGAATATACAATAACACAATTTTTAAAAAAATATCTTATACTGTATATAAATGGCATAACTAAACATGGCAAGCAATGCATTAAAGCCACACAATAAAACTGACTTCAGATCCAAAAATTATGTTTTACCTTCATGATGTCCACGTGTCATCATGATCATATCAGGCTTGACTGAGATAGGTATATTTGCTTCCTGTGGTATGTTTATGAACATCTCTGGGTTTACATTCTGTGTACAGGTCATGTATGAAACAGCATGTTTGGCTTCCATGTAATACATAATATAGAAGTTGCACATTTCATCACTGGCTGTGCCCCTATGGGAACACAAGGTAGAATATACTTTTAAGAGTCTAAGAACAAAATGTCAGCTGTGCATATATATGTTATCAAATGCAGCTTTTAAGTCTGCCAGCAATTGCTAAAAAGGTTGTACTGAAGTGCTTTAGCAGCCCACATTAAAACACTTCACAGCCTCAACATAAAAGCCCCATTATCTCTAGCTTCTTCCTGTTTATATTGTATCATGCCAGTTTGCAGAAACTCCCTAAGCATCTCAGTAACACTTAATAATGATTTATGGTTTGAAACAACAGAAAATGGCATAGAAAAAGTTATTTCTGTGTTCAAATTGGCCTTCCTTCTTTTTTCTCCACTGTCCCTTGCATCTTAGTGTACACATTTATCTGAAAGGGAGTATATCAATAGTAAACATTATTCTATTATTTATAATATTCCCTGTTGCAATCTCCTTCATCCTATCTTAAGCCATATTTACAAATCATTACAAATAATCCCACTGCTTAATTTTAATATTTCCTGTTTGTGCTGCTCTGCTTTTCACATTCCAATTCCTTCATTTACTGACCAACTACATGAGTTATAATACAGTGGCATAGGAAGTTTCAGGACTTATTAAGCAACATAAGCATTTCCCAGAGGGCGATGATACTTCAGTCTCTAGGAAAACTTAATCACAAACCTGAGCCTCTGTAACGAAAGAGTCTGTGTTACAGAGATGAAAAGAAAAAAATTCATTACTAACTGCTAGAAATGGGCTTGAAGCAAAGTTGGACTATTCTGTTGTGCTACATAACTCTACCTTTGAGATAAAGCCACTTAATACAACAAGGAATTTTTTTCAGAAAAATACTTTATGGCTTAAAAAATAGCATATTGTTACACAATGCTGTTCCCCACCACCTCCTTCACGCTATATAGGTTGGTATATCTTTTATTTATAAGATGCAACCTTTAATAAATCTGACAATTCAGCAGACAACCTTTTTAGTGAAAGGTTTACAAAATAAAGGGACTTATATAGAGGGTTTTTTTAAAATTAGCTCTCTCAGTTAGCCAGCCAGCCCACACTCATAGAAAGGAACGGGGGTGGACTATTAGTTGTTTGCAAAAGACGTCAATGCTGACTTTTCTAGCAGCATCATGCAGTATTCATTTATTCACCATAGCAACAATAATGACACCAGTCAGGTGGGAAAAAAGAGATGGTTCCAAAAGGGGAATTGGTTTCTCCATGCTTTGAAAATTTAGTGCCCCTTGGAGACCACAAAAATCAGCCTCTACCTTTGGAAGCTCTGGTTAAGCATTTAAAAATCATTTACTTCTTCACTGTCTGACTCCCAATAACAGTCAGTATAATTGTCTCCTCTTTACAACTTAAGTAAAATGGTGATGTGCAACTTAAAAATGAACGTAAAAACATTCAAAGAAGTACATTTTAATATTTGACACAATTTACTAAAAACAGGTTTGCAAACATATGAAAATCCTAAACTCTTTGGAAAGATCCCTTCCATCACATATTCATGCCACTTATAACTATCCAGTTCCCTGAATGAAAAAGCTTTTAATGAATAGAAGCACACATACAAAAATTATAAAGCTATGCCCAAGGCAGCTTAGATGGCAAAAATAGGGTTTTTTATGCCTATTAATCACTTTATATTTGTCTAAACAAAACTTAAGTGAGCAATATACACTAAATAGGGCAATCATCCTTTCTGGTAGATGTGAGCAATTTTATCAATAGGATTATAAAATAATAAACTTAGTGTTGCAAGTGCAGAATTAAGAGCAT